AGGTGGGTAATTTGATGTGGAGACAGCAGCATGTGGACACAACCCACCTTCCCATCCAACTCCAACTGAAGGACCGGGAAGAAGAGACAGGACACAGAAGCAGGACAGTAGCATTTACTAATGCTTCAGGGTGTTACAGTATGCACACTCAAGCAGGTACCCGCATTCCCATCCACACAAAACCACACACACACACCTTTGGTCCGGGCAGCATGTCGTTCTGTTTAATTTTGACGGTGGTCTCAATGAAACCGGAGCAGCTTCCGATGAGCAGCGGCTGAGACGGAGGGCGGGGAGGGGATTTCAAAGGCTTTGCCTCTTCCTCCTCTTCCGCCTCATCGTCATCACCATCTTCTTTTTCCTCCTCCTCCTCCTCTTCATCCTCCTCATCTTCTTCCTCCTCATCATCTCCTACTTCTTCTGTTTCTCCTCCTGCTTCACTTGCCATGGCCGATACAGGGGGATCTTTCTCATGGGGACCCTGAGAAATCAGAAGATATATATGAGCATTTCTGGTTGTAAATCATATTGCAGTTTCATTTTCAAAAATGTATATTTTGATATCTTCTTCCAGGTTTTTAAAAAACAAACTGTGTTTTGTACGTTAAAAAAAAAACATTCTGACTTTGTTAATTTGCAACAGTAGCAAGTGAGAAAAGATTATCTTCAGAAATACTCATGGGAGTAAGAAACTGATTTAATGAAGTCTGAATATTTCTGGATTTTTAGTTTTATATAAACACGACTAATACACATCAGCTCCACCTGACCTGCACACACTGTGGTGCTAAATGTGATCTATGATACTTTTACTTAATATTGTATTATCATAGTAATACGTGAATACATAAATAGGCAAATAAATAGCATAGATACATAAATGAGTGTGAAAGAAAAGAAAGATTACACATTGAGAGTGGTTAGCGGGTCAAGTCTCCATCACCTGCGCGGTGCCGGTGCTGTCGTAGAACAGCTGGACGGCGCTCAGCTGGAGGATCTTGTGCAGGAAGGCGGGCGGCTGGTGGATGTCAACAGGCACGGCAGTGTGGCTGGCTGGATCCCGCACCGCCTCGTCAAAGTACTCCAGCCTGGAGAACGTGCAAACAGACACACTCATTATTTAGGGCCAATTATGGGTTTATGGGGATTTCTATTCTGAGAAACATTACCATTGTGAGCCACTCATATAATGGTTTTAATAATATATGATATACCCGACAATAGAATACTCATCAGCACAAGCAGCATCCGTGATTGAATAGCATCCCGTTTAATAAACACTGTCCCTGAAACACGCTACGAATCAGTTCTCCTCTTAGAAATCAGGCATTTGGGATGACGGGACCTTCTGGTCACTGACCCAAGATCAACACAGCCACTTTGTCAATAAGCCACACACACACACACATGGGTTCACCAGTGTCGCAGTAACACACAATCACAAATGTCACGGCAGTCATGGGACACGTGGCACAGAAAACCATTAGTGGCTACCTGTCGATTAATCAAGTGTGTATTTGGGAATGATTGCAACCCAGCCCAGTTAACGCAACCTGCAGTTTTACCTTTAATAACACGAGCAAATCAAATCAGTGAGATCATAATTGCTTTCGAAGGATGATTGCACGAGGCTCTCCGCGGCAACAACGGCCACATATTCACAGTCTCCCCTGACAATCCCATACTGACGACACCCGGAGAGCAGCCTGCAGGCGGACGACCTCATCAATACTGACCCCGTTTAAAACAAGCTACACGCTGAGGCGGCTTGAAAACACAAGGAGAGCAAGTTCATAAGTGAGCAGGGATCTTTCTCCTCATCGGCTGATGAGCAGAGAGAAGATGACATCTCATTCCTGGCTTCCATTTTACTTTCTCTCTGCTGTGACTACGACATTAGTGCTAACGTGGAAGAGTTGCAATATTACGGATTACAGAAACATGAAAAACAACAAAAGAGCGAAACTGTAGCTGTAGCTGTAAATCTGGATGATTTACAGCGTTATGCTGACCACTTCTCACTGAAACTGTTGAATTAATGAAGGAATGTGTTTTGTTTTCAAGATGCAGCAATGCAAACATACACAGCGTCAATTCACGCACAGCATGCGTACATCATTGTTATCTGTAGAATATCTGCAAGTTTTTAAATAAATCTCAACTGCTTTACATGTTTTTATGCTCTGATCAGACCTAAAAAACCCACAAAAGAAACACCGGTAACAGAGCAGGAACAGAGACGAGAAGGAGAGGTTTCTCAGCGCTTTCCTTTGTGACCCTTCTATACCTTTAACTATCAAGGATGTTTAAAGGTAAAGATGGAAGCGTTGTTGCTTTGAACTTGGTGTTCTTTTGGAGAACAAATCAAGTGAGTCTTCTGAGCTGTTCCTCATAATATTTCTCATTTATAAGACATTAATCAGGTAGACGTTTCTACCAAAATCATCACCAAATATCCTGTAAAATACAAAATAAAAGACAGATTTAACTAAGGAGGAGCAGTCATTCATAATATGGTCATGTTGTTCTCCTTTGCTAAAGTGAGTCTTGCGGAGGGAGACATACCGTTTGATGTGCACCTCTAAGGCAACGCCTGTTTCCAGGTCCCGGGGCTGGTGCTCGATGCGAACGATAGTGTCTATGAAGGTGACTTTAATGCGACGAAGGACTGCAAACACACAGATGAGATGAGAGACATGCAAAGGTTCATCAGCACTGACCTTTCAAATCATCTCTTCTTAGCGTCTGATCAGATTGGGTTTTTAATTTAAATTTAATCTGCAGATATTTACCACAGGGAAACGGATTTTTGCACGTTCGCGCCGTCGGCTCGACACAAAGTGAGAACGCACACAGCCTCGACTCACCTGTCTCAATGGTTTGTGCAAACATCTCAAGCCCCTCCAGCTGGGCAGGCGGCTCCTCAGACGCTTCGGGAGGGTCCTTCAGGCACTCCTGAGCCAGCTGCATGCTGGAGGTCATGCTTGATGACCAGCCTTGGGAGTCCCAACCCCCACCTGAGAACAAAATATAAATAAAATCACACGGAATTCAGACATTGAGTAAGTGAGTCTGTGTGCACTTTATACATCTCGTGCAAAGAAAACAACGGGCAGTGTGAAATGCATCTGCCTGCGGATCAACTCTGCATGTTTGCTCGATGTTATTGTCTGTATTTCTTAACACTGTATGTCTCAAAGACAAATTTCCTTTGGGACAATAAAAAACCATCTATCTGTAAGCACTCAAATAGCAGATCGTACCAAATGGATGCTCATTCATCGCTTGATTAACAAGAGATTTGGGGCCGTAGCAGTAATGAAACCAGGACTAATTCATCTTTACAGTAATCATCACTTGGGAACATACTTCTTAAACTGGGACAAAACCGGTGGTCTTGATGCCAGTTTACTGTCCCAGGTGGGAGACTTGTTTCGGGGGGGGAGACTCACTGGTTCGGTACTTGGGTCGGCATGTTATCTGAAGACCAGAAACTTCTAAGGTGCAGTGATCCGTCAGGAGAGCTTGCCAGGGGATGGTCACCACGATGCTGCTCACAAAGCCATCCACGATCTCCAGAGGAGCACCGAGGGTCTCCAAAAGCTCATTGACCGCCTGGAGGACAGAGAGGAAAAGGTCAATAAGAACGAAATGTCAACAAATGGCTCCCTACTGTGTGTAGACGTATCACGCATTGTGTAAGGTGGAGAGAGGGGGGGGCTGAATCTATTCTGAATGTGAAAGACACTGTGGAAAGGTGCAGCTAATCTGCTAACATGGTGATGTGTTTCCCAGAACTGGAATTCCTGGAAGAAACGCGAGCCAGGCGCGGAGCATGACGCTTGAGAGTGTTGTTGCACTCGAGTGCAGTTGCGAAACAGTCACGAAAACACACAGCGGGACACGCGGCGCGGAGTTGACAGACACCTATTTACAATAAACGCATAATAACAACTCACCCAGACGTCGAGGTTGATCTCCTTGATGACACCGCTGCCGTTGTAGAGGTCCAGGCCGAGCTGGTCCAGGCTCAGGCGCTCCTGCAGAAAGTGGCCGAGGTAGTGCTGCAGGAGGTACCGACAGGCCCGCTTCTTGATGGAGCCGGGCCAGGGGAAGAGCCAGCGAGACATGGGGCCGCGGGGAGCGGGGAGAGGGAGCGACGAGCCGGCGGAGGAGAACGAGTGAGACTGCGGCCCGCCGGCAACTGCATAACAGACTGGAGCCGAAGTGTGCGAGCGCAAGGAACGAGCCGCGGCTAGCTGCCGCAGGGGGCTACGGAAGGAAAGGGGGGGGGGGGAGCGAGACTGTAGCGTTAGTTCTCCCCGAAAAAAAACTAGAAAAGCCCGTTGTCAGGACCGACGGGACTCGCCCGCTAGTCGACGGGACGTTTCTCCGGCCGTTGGGGGCCGTCTCGGCTCATTGTTTCGGTACGTGCGTGTCGAATCGGAGCCGCAGGTTCTGCTGGTGCGTATCTCTTGTTTCAGGCTTGTTTATTGTTGTCGTCTGCCAACTGATGGTATGGGGAACGTAACTTACGTGCGTCACGCGTCATCGTGACGACAGACAAAACCCCGGAAGAGACACACGACACCATCCAGGCACCATCTTTGTGAATTGAAAACCGGGTCAATATTACACCTGATTGAGGTTTATTTTTACATTTATTATGATTGATTTCGATTAATTTGGAAGATTTAAATAATGTTGCAACATGGTGGGGATCCAATATATACATTTAATTAAAAGGTATTAAGGAAGCTGTCCTTTGTCAATACTAGGCAGCATTATTTCATTTCATGTTTATATAGAACCTAGTATCAAGGGTCTTGTATGCCACTTAGCTGTGGGACGAAAAGGTGCATGACAGTATTCATACTGGCTCATATTGCCATGTTCTAGTCAGGAACCTCCACGGACAATAAATTGTTCTTATCGTAGCTTAAGTGAAATGTATCAATTGTGTAGCAAAATATTTTTTATTATTAAACAAAAACAAGTTACACCATCGGCTAAATGTCTTTATTCCTATGAAAACATGTAGTGATTTCTATACAAACGACCATAAACTTAGATCACAACAGCCAAAAATGGTCTTATAACATCCTTCGTCAAGTCAAACATTTGGGTGTCAACTTGATAAACATAGTTTTTAATAAAACAGACAAATAAAATTACTGCAGATTTTATTTACACACGAGTCGACTCATTTTATGAAGGCAACGTCCGGGATCTTGCCATCAGTCTGGAAAAAGAAAGGAAAAAGCATTTTAGAATCTTGCTAAATGAATAATGACACATTTATAGAAATCCAAAGAGAGAAACTAGAAGTGATATAACCTTTAACTGAGTGAAAACTTGTGCTGCTCGGTTGAAATCCCACTCGTTGTCTTGCAGACACCTGCAACAGAGAATAACGGTTTGATATAGATTATTTGCTTAATTTCATATATAAACAAAACATGGAGGGAAAAAAGAGCAATCGACTTACTTTTGGGACCATTCCAGGTTCATGCCAGACTTTTGCGAGAAGGCTGTGAGCATCTCCTGCTGCGGTGCAGTGAGGGTGGGGACGGGGCTGGAAGATGGAGTCGGGGCAGGAGCCACGAAGGCCCGGCGGATCTCCTCTGTTGTGGCCATCCGGATGAAAAGCTGGTCGTTCACAATGCACAGACTGCGGCACGTAAATAAAAATAAAAAGCTCATTGTGGTGAAGTACGATGGCCCTTTGATTTGTTTCAACAGTAGAGTAACCCTTTTTTTTTAACAGTACAGCATTTTAAAATGAACCAACTTGTCATTATGTTTTCTAAATGCAATTTTGCGCTTGGCTCTCTGGTTTAGTTATTGTAGAAGAAAATTATTTACCCTTTTCGGTAAAGCCATTTGTACTCAAAATAATTGCGCACAGTAATAATATGTACAATGCAGAAAAAATAAATTACATTTCATTTTGCATTCAAAATGTCATTGTTCATTCTCTACAACCTAATTTTATGGATCTACCACAGCAGATTTTACTTATTTTGTCTTATGACCTTTCCTCTGGGAAAATGTGAAGGACAACAGCAATATGATTCAAACCACTGGGAGCTCAGTAAAACATACCCAGAATTCCCTGCCGGAACTGTGACGAAGACTCGAGAGAAAGCCATGGTGGACTCTCGGGATTTACCATCGACAGCAACTGAAAAACAAACATGAGAAACATTAGAATCAAACCCAACACTAACTCCCCTTGCAGTGGATGTGGAAGAAATAGGAAATCATGATTGACCACCAACTCACCTTCTTTGAAGACTCCGCTCACGGTGAAAGACAGCAGGGTGTTCTGTTTAAACAAAACAAACAAGATTAAAACATATTCATTATTCAGACAGAGAAGGCTAATGACATGCTGACAGAACAAACACGATCTCACCGTGAAGGTGTTTACGTCGACGTTAAATGAGGCGATGTCGTGCTGAGTTTTGGGCAACTCGTTGATGAAAGCCACCACGTTCAGCCGTGTGTGCTTCAGAAGTCGAAACCGCATCGCTAAGAGAAGGAATGAAATCAGAAAGGAGGAAAAAAAAATCAAAAAATCAGGAGGAATCTCAAATAACAGACTCATTAAATCTTAACAGTTCGGACGCTGTGACGGGTCGACAGCTCGGGAGGTAAACTCACTAGTGTCTTTGATTCTCTTCAGGTTTCGAGTGTCTTTGTGATACTCTCCAAGACTGCTCCTAAAAAAAAAAAAGGATGGAGGGACAGATTGACGCCATGTGAATACAGACAAAGAGTTAATTACCTAATTACCTCCAAAAATTACATCCGAGGTAACACTGACACACGGTCAGAGTGTGTGTCTTTGTGCGCTCTTACCTGGAGGGGTTCTGGGTGGTGTATGGTGTTGTGAGGGAGAGCGACGCTCCGTCATGGTAAGCGTCCAGGAGAGGCTGTCTGTTCCCAGAGTCGTATATGCTGTAGTACCTGAAACAGTCACACCGTTTGTTCCTGTGTCTCCTGGGGTTTCTTCTATGAAACGCGTTAAAAGCAGTACTGGTAAAAACCCAACCGCCACAGAGGCAGTGATCAATGGAATGTTGCCAATAGATTGTCTACAGTTAAATAAATATATAATAGAAACTCACTGTGCCAGGAACCGAAGTATGAGGACCTTAATTTCCTCAGAGCCAAAGCAGCTGCCCTGGATTGTCCATAATAATGATAAAATAAAAACATTTGTCAGGTACAACAACTGCCTGAAGACATTTACTTGAAGGACAAAGCAGCTTAAACCTGTGAACGTATTCCAGAATTTAAAAATATATATTTATTTAAAAATATATGACAGATTAGAAATGCATCACACAAGACAAAACAAGCTACCTTGCAGGGGGGAATAACGGTTGGCGTTTCCACATCAAATCCGATGGGTGCGGGGAGGTCATGACCATCCTAAAAAAGAAACCACAGGTGAGTTAAGATGCATCGGGGAGAAATTGGCCCTGGCGGACTGATTTGATTGAATCCAAATAATGATGATTGCAAAGAGATGAAGCGCGGGTGACGGATTTGTGGGCTTACCAGTTTGAGAAGCCGGGGAAACCTCTGCCGCACGGCACTGGTATGGAAAAGAAATTAAGAGCAGGATAGTTATTATCACAAACTGCACTACAAAAATAAATTATGCTCCCTGATGAAGATAACACCGTCAGTCACAGCTGGCGACACATTTATTCTCATTTTGTGACTTTCAGTCTTCCTTTTTAAACTGACAAACTGATTTGGGAGAATACAGTCATGTAGGCAGGTAAATGGATGCAGTTGGACAACCAGCGCCAGAAGCAGTTTACGGTTTGTATTTTAGGTACATTTAAACACATTTGTAAATGGACTATCATTTACAGAGTCATCCTTCCTTCAGGTTGATGATGCGCCAATCAAAACCTCTCCCACCCCAAAGTGTACTTACCAGTAGGTATACTCACCCTCTCCCCCAACATGGAGGTACACAGATCTGACACAGGGAAGCAACATAAGCACACTCTTTCTAGCTCACACATGCAGAGCCCCACAATCTACCAGATTCCACTGAAACCAGTAAACACATTCAGTTTGAATTAGTGAAATAAAGATGTTGTGCACTCCTGGGAGAGAGGAGGTCACCGCCAGATCTGGGGAGGGAAGGATATTTAGTCCAAGCCACACAAACCACGACTACTGGCAGAAGAACATTCATGCCAATCACCATTCATCATGCGAAAGAGACGTTGTGTCTGCGCCCACGACTATCAGCAAAGAAAGACATCAGAGAACAGATCTGAGCCAAAAGGACAACCGGCCTCAGAGTGAGCTGGACCAGCATTCCCACCACGCATCCCATTGCCTTCCCGACGGCACACAGTTAATCAGTGAAGCACCTCAAAGCCCCCATAGACTCTGAAGAGATGAGTCTGCGTTTTCATTTTTCTAGCCTCCCGCAGCGCACAAGGCTCCGATTGGTCTGCTAACTACGTCCTTTACGGAGTCTCACATTTCCATTTTCATAGCACAATACCGCCATTATTAAAACGAAGAATGTTTACGAGAGAAAAGGATCAGATTGAAGAACTTTTGTCGGAAGAAATGCGTAAATATGACCGCTTATATAAGCCGTCATTGGCGGGTTGTAGAAGCGGGTTGGATTCATGGAGGGAGATCGACACAAACGCCGGTCGAGAGGTGCACAAAGTTGTGGAGGAAAATACGGGACAAATGTGTCCGCGATGAAAAGCAGCAGTGGCGATGCACGGGACAATAAGGTCTATGATAAATAAATAAACAAATAAATAGACGTGACTCTAGGTTGTCTTCAACAAAAACACATTACTCCATCTGTTGTTCTGGCGGTGAATTGCTCTGCAACACACGCAAGACTTTTAGAAGCATGGATTGAAACGAGTGCAACGACGCAGACACACGCGCCGGCCTTAAAGCAAGACTTCTCAGCTCGCACTTCTTCGCTTTCTTGTACTGGTCACAGACATCAGACAGAGTTTTTCACGCATCTCTCACTCGACTTATTTCAGGCAAAACTGGACTTTGATGTCCAGTTCAGAACCCGTTTCCCTCAGAAGTTAATTACAGGCGTTTGCCAAACCCTCCACTTCCTTCACTGAACAGCAGAGACCCGTTTTAGGGCAAAGACAACAAACTTAGTGGAAGAGGCGGACTGCTTTTTCTGTGCGGCCCTTCAGTGGTCATGGGTAATGACACGTATCCCTCTCCGCCTCAGCCCAACAGCTGTTTCTGTCGAGCCCCACCGTCTCAATTTCTTCTCATCGTGTTCTCAGCGAGTCAGTGCTCGTGGGGAATGAGGCCGAGTAATCGTGACTGTGCCTGCCTTAGGTTGTCCCGGGGTTTCCAGGTGGGATCTTACCCGTCATGGGCTATCCAGCCTTCCATACTCGCCTGTCACCTTGGGGGGGAGGGGGGGGGGGGGCAGAGTGGGCAAAGGTGCTAAGAGGGGAGGGGAAATCACTGGCTGTGGACTTTCCTTGTTGTCAAAACATCTGTCAAGACAATTGTGGATTGCCCTCTCTGCAATACAAGCCTACACTGTTATGCAGCACTGCTTAAGATTGTCGTTGTCGTGGTCGATTCATCTTTTTGGGGAGCCGTTCACAGTGCATTGTGTTCAAGGGTTGTCAAGCAGAAAATGTTCTTTTTTTCCCCCCCAAGTGGTTATTGTTGGAGTTACACATCAAGAGCAATGTAATCGTTTTGCAATTGTTTATGGGATAAATAACCAGGAGTTCAGCGGGGGAGTGCTGGGCACAGAATCACCGAGGAGCAGAAAGTTGACCAATGTTTGAAAAGACGTCCCACAGAGAAGCTGAATAACAGGCAAAGAGGACGGCTGCTCAAACTGGGAAGACGGTAAGCAAGCTGAAGGGTAAATATACATCAATCAGGGTTAGAAGTCCTCTCAGCAACTTTGTAAAGTAAGACATGTTTAGTTAATTGTGTGAAAATGAGATGGTACTCAACAGTGGGAAAGAATTTGCATAGCTCTTTTTTCTACCTCTCTTTCCACACAAGTATACAAAAACACAGCGAAAGAAAGGTTAATGTCAGCTTGCTCAGCTCTCCAAATGTTCCGTTATAGTACGGGCCTTTGACCCACCCACGCACATACACACACACAACAGGCTGGCTTGATCTTCCTTCGCAGCATGCTGCTGTATATTTGTCAAACAGGACCTCCCTACTTGCACGCTAGTCTCGTCACACCACTGTGTCCTCTCAATTTTCTCCCCTCTGCCCCAGAAATCGCTGACTGACCTGATGTACGAGGCCTGGTCCTTAAAGAAGTCACACAGAGGGTTCCTGTTCAGCCACAGCTCCACCAGCTTCAGGCCTTTTATCTTGTCCAGCTCCCGGTCCGACTTCAGCTGGACGAGTTGGGGGGAGAAGAGGACGTACAAATCAAACCACGTCAAAAGGTTATTGTTCGATTAATCAACTGAGCAGTCACGCTCACCTCGTTGTGGGAAAGGTTGAGTGTCTTCAGATTAGGTGCCTTGGAAACCAGATCAGTGAGTTCATCCAGTTTGTGAATGCGGTTGTTGCTGAGGTTTAAGCCCGTCAGCTGGGAAAACACAGAGCCAATTCAGTTTGAACCATCACTTAACCAAACGCAGCGACCGCGTGCACACTCGTTATGACAACAGTAATAGTTGGTTACTTAGGTGGCAAACGAAATGATCAAAAACACCTTTACCTCTGGAATGTTTTCTTCGATGATCTTGATGACAGCTTCCATGTTTGTCTTCCTATTTAAGATTACTTCAATGTTTTGGGAGACCAGGTCTGTCGGATAAAAAAAAAAGTTAAAATATTGGAAAATAACTACAGTAATGAAAGAAAAAAATCTATAGCATGTGTGTAAAAATGTTGTATTAAACATTGACTAGATCTGGAATCAGGAACATTTATTACCGGAATATGTTAGGACATAAAAGGAATTTGACATTGCGGTTGGTGCATAAGAATGGACAGTTTTAGCACAAATAAACACAAAACATGAAATGGGTTCAACATATGACTGGAGAGCATCATCACCTGGGTCTGTTCGGATGTTGTTCAGGTCCAGTGCTTGCTGGGAGCCATCAAAACGTTTTGCCATGCATTGCTGTGCCAAGACAAAAACAAACATGAGGTCTCATTTAAAACAGCAAAAATAAATCATACGGGTTACTTTGAGGGCTAGCAATTAAATGAACTCGTACATGTCACTACAATCTTCTATTTTACCCTTATAGTTTGTATATTTTGAACAATATGCTACCATATTATCAGAGACTCCAAAGTTGTAGGTTTAAATATCAATATTTGCGAGACTTCTACAGGCATCCAAAAAGGCTTCAGCCCCTACAGATTGTCACTTCCTCCCGCTCACCCTCAGGTGCTCCAAGTGTTCAGGCTTCAGCTCGGTGATGAGGAAGGATGGCGGAGCGCTCGGGTTGACGTGTACTTCCACCTTGAAGAAACAAATATCGCACGGCAGGAAGGAACATAGTAAATAAGAGATGTATTGTACACACGCGTTTTAAGATTCATGCTGTCATCAGTAGTCGGATGTTACATCTCCAAAGACTGCTCTTTAAGGATTAAAAGATTCAAGAATTAAGACTGAGATTTCCTTTATCAACCGCTTACCTTATAGCCATCTGTGTCTGTGATCTTGTGAGAACATTTGTGCAACGCAGTGGCAACAGCGGACTCATCCACATAGAAGTGGACTCTGTTATGTTCAACATGATACTGTACAGACAGGGGAGAGAGAAAATAATTCAACGAAAATTTCCTTAAAATCATCCTTTTACAAAAAGTTGTATAAATAGCTGGAGATTGATTGATTTCCTTCTAACTGGTAATCATAAGAGAGCATTGAACCTACCTGTACAGGTGTGTAGGGAACAGTACAGATGTTCTGAAGAGCAGGCAACAACCATTTCTTGTCATATTTTTTTCCATGCGGTATCTAAGAAAAGGCCAAACATGAGTTTGTTAACAGCTTACATAGTAGAAACATCAACAACGTTGTATGGTAAGTGTTACAATACGCACTGTCACTTTGAACCAGCCGGACCGGCTCCTCCCTCCTCCACCATTGCCAGCACCTCCTCTGAAGCCACCTCCTCTACCACCTCCGCCCCCTTTGCCTTGTCGCCTGTCTCGGTCAAAGCGGCCATCTCCTCCTTTCCGAAAAGGCCTCCCGTATGGGTTACTAGAGAATAGAAAACAAGAATATATATTGAAACTGTACTGCATCAACCACAGAGACAACACAATTCTTTTCCAGTCCACGTCCTGCCTCACAAAACATCCAAGCAGTCCTTTCCCAGGGACACCGTGTCACTGCCTCGGAAATTGTTGTCCATCACGTTAGCCCAGTTTTTGTGACACGTCATCATTTGTGATCCAAACAACTTTCACATAAAACGGGAATCTATAGCTACATTTGTGATGAAAAACAAAAATTGAATTGAATAAAATAATTTCAGTACTATTGCAATCTCAGAATTTGCAACAGGCAGAGATCTCTAAACAAAAGTCAAAATCAATATGTGGTCGATGAGTCACCAATAAGATCAAATAAAAAAGCCCCCTGATATCAGTGAAGCTACATTCAGACAGAGTACTAAATTGGGCTTAAATGAAATTTTTCGACAGGCCCGTTCCGAGTGGGTTGTTTGATATTCTGAGAGCAGATTAATGAGCAAGTTCTTCCTCTTCCTGTGACTGCGTCTACCTCCGCGTGGTTGAAACAGATCCACAAGAAATGATTCACGTCTTGTCGTCTGTGGGTCACAACTAGGGGTGTAACGATTCATTCACTGAGTCGATTAATCGATTTATATTCCTGCGATCCAACTGAATCGATCTGTGCTCCGCAAATCGGCATTCCGGACGACATATCGATTACAAATCGATTGAAATGGTACATAATCGATTGTATCGATACTTGGAAACTGCACATTGGATTTAAGTACAAAAACGGTATGGATGTGTGTTTGTTTGTTTGTTTGTTTTTAGCACTTTAGACACATTAAACGTTACTCGATTCAGTCTGCCTGTCTGTGACGTCATCAGTACGCAGCGGCAGCCGCGCGAAACTCAACACAGCGTGGAGGAGGCGACTGCGAGCAAGACATTTACAAACCAACTCATCGATCCAGCGCGTGGAAATATTTCGGCTGTTGCAAACACGGAGGTGTTACCGCTGCAGCAGAAGGTAACTCCAGCTCTGCAGACACCTCAGGCCTCGCCAGCACCAAACTCAACATCACAGTAACAATTGCCAAGTTTAGCTGTAAAGACATGCGACCCTACATTTGCCATTAATTGTTGTTTGCTTGTTTATAATATCCATAATTAAATTTAAACCTGATTTCCTTACAAGAAACAACAGGGATCTCAGAAACTTTGCCTGCACTGTCCAGTAAAGTTACTGAATCGATTTCAAGTCACTGAATCGAATAGTTCTAAATTAACCCAGATCGTCCATGAATCGAATCGGCAACCATGAATCGCGATTCGAATCGAATCGTTACACCCCTAGTCACAACTATTCCGAATATTATTTTGACTATTATCTGTTAAACACTTACAATCTGTGCTGGGAGCTGTTGTCCTGGGAGCTGTCACTCATAGTGACATCTGCATCAATATCGTCAAGCCTCGACCGTGGCCCCGGACCCCCAAAGCCTACGGAGTGGCCCCCCCTTTGACGGTCTCTGCGGGACCGGTCATAGGACCGACCCTTGTGGGACCCTCGGCCTTTACGGTTGCGGAACTGCGGTGCAGTTCTGTCATCATGCTCTGAGAAAGGAAGGAGAGTTAAAAAGCTGGTCAGTTTTGATATATTTAATTAATAAATCAATTTTTCAGTAAATTAATTAAATGCTCGTTCTGTATTAAGAGTTTACGTTTCACTACCATCTTCTATTTTATAACAATGCGTAAAATACTTAAAATTAGTGCTAATGAAGCACTGGGTAAATACTGTATCAAGTAACAAAGGGATCTCCGGGGGGGCAGATATGATTTTACCTCGAAGGGACATGCAACCAGAGCTCATGACCTGTCTCCTCACCGTGAAGTCCCCTTGGTCTGAAGATACAAGTGGCACAGAAGACGTAACGTTAAGGTGAAGTCTCTTACCGCTGTAGTAATGTCCGCTGTCCGCCATATTTATGGGATAGTGTCAGACGAAAAAAACACACACAGCCCTCGCCGAAATTATAAATTGAAGCGGTGCTTCGTTTCGGTCTTTTACGAAACAAAAACGCTAAGTTGTGAAAGAAGTTCACACATCCCAAATCGGGGGGTCTTTGTGTGAGAGGAAACACAAAGGCGGGCACAACGTGACCGGTGTGCGTGCGTGCGTGTGTTCTTTAACTAGCTGGCGGCTAAGCTAACGGCTGCGCGTTGCCGAGAAGACAACGGAAATACAAGGCGGTCTTTAGTATACGTTAGATTCTCTTCCGGGACAAAGACACGGCGTGGGAAATTCAAACATTACAACTTTGGAATCTGCGGTTAAAAAGTCAAAACAACAACGCAGAAGACCTTAACGTACCAAACTATGAAAGTGTATGATGTTGCAATTGTCAGCTTCGAAGTTGATTCAACGTTATGGCTAGCGGAAGCCAGTTAGCTACCTAGTTTACTCAAAGCTAGTTAGCCAGTACCTAGCTCCTAAGCTAGTTAGCTAACTAGCTTAACCAAATTGGACCTGGAGGTTTTCGGTACCGTGACGGACCACCACCAGGCACCATGAATGGGGCCCTCAGCACTCGGTTTTCTGCTCTAACGTTACATAATCACCATAATGATATGTTAATAGTATTATTAAGTGCCTGTAGGTTGTATTTATACAGAGACAGACGAAGACCGATGTCTTTAAACCCGGCTCAGGTTTTTTAAACAAACGTCTGTAGACAAAAAGTTTTTAAATTACGAATATATTATCAACCCCTAGGATGTTTCAAAGACTCGTTAAATATACAGCTCTCGTGTATAAGTGTATGGTCTTAAATCTGTACCGGTCACATTAAATCCTAGTCGTATCTGCATAGCTATTATTAAGTTATATTCTGATCAAATACGACGCCTCGTTTAAAGATGATATATGTATATTCAGTGTGCACCACACAAATTCTACTGTTATGCATATTAAATTACATTTAATCATTTATTTTACTTCAACTACAAATACATTCAAATCTAAACGTAAATTATTCATTCATGTTGAATATGTTTACGATCTGAAATCGAAATAAAGCATGTGCACATAAAATTAAACTGATTATCAGACATATTCATATACTATAGATGCTGACTGAATCTCCAGTCCGACAGAACACCCTTTGAGTTTCTCTGATAAACTCAACTAAAGATAGGGATGTAAAATGGGCAAAATGTATGCTCTGCCTCTCCGTGATGCTGACCTTTTCCCCCATCCTAGTAGAAGAACTACATGTGGATTTAAGTCAATTTATCATCACTGATGGCAAATGTCCACTGAGGGTGAAGGTCCTGCTCCAGTCCATGCATTAATGTCACTCAGGTTAATGACTGAACACGTGCTATGACAAGTCAAAATCTATGGCTGCCGCGAAGGTCCATTTGAACCCCCAAGGTTATGAAGCTAAACAAGTTGTATTTGTTTATAAATATGTACCTCTGTAAACCCTTCAGAAGTGTGGAATTATATTCTGCAAACAGCTAAATATACACGCACACACACGTCTCTACTGGACTGAAGACAACAGAGGCTGTGCGCTTGGGTGAAAGGCCTAATCAGTGGACAACACTTACCGTCATTCAAGACATGCGTCACCACGGCGAGGTTCGGGTAGCTTCTCTCAGACACAACCACGCGACGATCCATGCCGTACAACTCTCCTGTTTCAACAGTCTGGAAAACTGTTAAAAATGTAAACTTGCCGATGCAAAAAAGACGCTTAAAAACTTAGCTGTTAGCTGGACTTCCACGGTTGCTAGGCAGTGTTTAACTAGCTAGTAGCAGTTAGCAGCGAGCCTTTCCTTAATAACACTATCGAACGACATTTACCGATCAGGTACCTTAACCCACTTCACAAGATTTTATATTTCCCCATGATGCCTAGTGCCGCGATCACTTGTGAGGCCGCTTTCCGTCCCGCTGCGGTTCCTCCGCAGGTCCCGCTCACTTTCCTCAACACGGCGCCACCTGGTGGTCATCGTGCATATAACAGGCAGCGGTTTATCATGTCCACGTAATTACCAGCAGCGGGTGATTAAATTGTGACTTAATAACGGCTGTACACGTTAAACGGGTGTTAAATCATATTTATGGTAAATTGTGAGCTGCAGACGAATTGTGTTGCAATATAGAAGTGTGTCCGATATTTGTTCCTCTGTGGTATAAAGAAAAAATTAAAAACACATTTGAGCTGGAAATAAAAATGTACCACAAAGGTGAATTAAAAGCTCCATAAGACAAAAAATAATTACAGACTTCACAACGGGACGATTTATTGGGACAGATTTAAAGTTGGCGTAGTAGTTGGACGGTTTCTGGGTATTAGTTACGTGTATTTCTAGAGAAGGAGAGGACAGAAGCGATCATTGTTCTTTTCACTCAGCTTGGTCGTCGATCTATATGCGTGCATGTTTGGTATCATTTATAAACCATGACTCTGTTAAGCCAGAGAGGGTTCCCTTTGTTGCTGTAAACAAATAACCAGTTTTGCAACGAGTGACAAGATCCCTGAGATTTTACAGACCAGCTGACGGAAATTTAGTTTTTGGTCCTCTGTGAAATACGCACTGTTAGTGAATGTACATACCAGATGTACAAATGCAAGACATCAGTCAGTTTCCTGCAGACTTGAACTGATTCATACCGCTATCGCTCCTCTTTCTCAGCACACAAAGACAGATTCCTGTCAAAAGAAATCCTCCTCTTCTACTGAACGAGTCAGTCAAAAGTCCAAAGTCTCCCATCACCGGTTTTGTCCACGTGACCCTGGATTTGAGTGTTGTGTATATTTGGGTGTTTCATACAACGCTGTTGTCCTCCCGACAGCTGTGCTCCTGCTGCCAGGAGGCCACGCTGATGGCCTGACTCAGAGAAGTGATGAGGGAGGTCAGGCCGATGAGGTAGCCGTCCTCTCTGCTCCCCTCAGCCCACGGGACGTTGTGCCTGAGCCGGCTCGCGTCAGACACCGGCGTCGTCTTGGCGAAGTCTATCATCCACACGTTGGCCCTGCTGCTGTGGTCGTGGACGAAGAGGAGCGAGCTGCCAATCACCTGATCGGGTCAAAGAAATAGATGATGACATCGGCCCGAAGACCAATGTGGTTTTAATAACGATCTAAAGCAGAATTGAACAGGAAAAGAAACATCTGCGTTTAAGCCAACCTCATGAGTTCTGAAAAACAATGAATTCTTCAGTGCATCGCTCAGAGCCAGCAGTCTGGAGTGGTAGGCCTCCTGAGAGCACAGACGAGCACAGGTGGGTTTAGCACACATCGCAGGTACATAATAAACTGGGTGGAAAGCACATAGTAAAATGACAGCAAGTCCAATCCAGTTTTTTTTTTTTTGTGCTGATTGTTGTATGATTTAGGACGGATGTTTTAGCGGTGTCTTCATAACGGGTAGAACTGACCAGGATCTCCCGCTGTCTCCTGGTGAAGAAGAGCAGGGCCTCCGTGACCTGAGCCAAAGTCATAATTTTCCTAAAGTCCCGTTGCACACTGCCATCCTCCGTCTGACAAGAAGAGCACAACAGCACAGACGTATTGTTGAGAATCAGACACTGCAAATAGGATCTTTGAGTTGTGCCGGGATTTCATTGGCCTTCAATCCTACCATGATGCCTTCGATCCTGAAGCCCAGTGTGGCCGTGGAGCTGGTCGTGTCCTTCCACTGAAGGTACCGGGACTTGGTCACGCCTCCCTGTTCATGTTCCTCGGCTGACGGAGCGGACGGGTCTATTTTCACCATCTTCTGGTACATATCACTCCGCAGCGTGGCGTTGGTCCGGGCTTTGACCAGCTCCTCCTCCTGGTATGTCCTGTGAAGGAAACTCTCATGTTGTACATACATAGAACAGATTGATTTCACTAACTGGACTCATTTTCACACGGTCAGTTAGTGTCTTGCATCACTGCTCCATTACTCTCTGGCAGAAAGAAATAATAAGCCACCTGACTCCCATCTTGCAGTCCATGATGACGGGTTTCCTCAGGCCGCTCAGCAGGTCCTCCAGGCGGATGTAGCAGAGCTCCCCCTTGGTGACCAAGCCGTGGTACTGGGGGACGAAGGGTCTCAGCGGGTCTCGCATCAGGCAGTCCAGGCAATTCGCCTCCACTTCGCTGTAGAGTTTCAACACCTCCCCTCCGTCACTCAGCTGAAGGGAACCTGGCAGCCGCGAGGCATAAAGTAATAAAGTCGGTCAGATATCATCGTCAGTGTGTGTTCCCGTGTGATTTGTAGGTTCAAACACGAGGGAACAATCACGTCTGTGTGTCGTGGTCTTCTATGAGATTCTTTGATCCAATGAAAAGTGAACATAAACATATATGTATATATGAACTATATCTGTTATGCAGTAGTGTACAGACACGTGCAGTAATGTGGTGAACACAGTAGTCACTGAGGAGGTTCGGGTTGGACGTGCCTTGATGTCCAGCCAGCTGGACCCAGGAGCTCTGCCGCCGCAGCGACCAGTGCATCATGGTCATGTAGGTTTTCCAGGAGCGGCACTGCGGCACAAAAGAATAGCAGATTATGTGCACCGCTGCATGCGAGACAAACGAGGCGTAGAGCCTTTCCCGCTTTGTTTTTTAAGAGCACAAGGAGAAAAGTAAGTTCACCTGCAGGCTATCGATATTTCACTTTGTCGTTTATATGCATGTGAGTGGCAAAGCCTCAGCTATCAGGTGGGGTCCAACTCGGGCCTTGTTGCCGTGAGGGGCCAGCGGTGACAGAACCACCTCCTCATGAAGGCTAAAGTATGGGCTTCCCATGTTTGCGAGGCGTTAACAGGCCTCTTTCACAGCGGAGAAGGTGTCTCATCAAGCCATGACAGTGTGACAATGAAATTCAGCCTTTCATTATTCATTTTACTATTCAAATCTGTACTTTTCCTACTTTGAGATGACAATATGTCTGCTGTTTAAAGGGCCAATGTAGCGTGACATTAGCGTATCATCAAGGCCCTACTGTGAACGAGGGGCTTTTGTTGGGAGAGATTAAAGAGTGCAAACGCCTTCTACGTCCACGTAAAAAACTGTTATGAGGTGCGTTCGGTGTTTGCACAGCGCACAGCTCGACAGCTAAGTTCTGTTTTGCATATACACAAAACAGCCGCCACAAGACAAAGGCATGAATCACCAAAACAACAAACGCGGGAAGCCACAGCGGAGCCGAGCATGCTCAGTAGAGGCACTGACAGGCCTCACTGACAAGTCTGAGGGAAATGTCTGTGTTGTGTTTAGATTACGACTTAGCAAATGTTTACAAGGGCTTTTGTTGTTGGTCACGCAGGAGCAAAATGTTTTGAAGATGCGTATATTTCTCATGTCATTTAATGATAGTCTTGTATTCGGTCCTCGCAGGCTCACACTTCCTCCCACTAACTGACCCCTTCTACGTCCATATCTGCAGCTGCAGCAGACAGGTATGCAAACGCTATTCAAATCGGACTTTGTCAAAGTCCTCTTTCAAGCCAATGCAAATGTACCGGGACCAAATGTGCATAGAACAGTTACGAAATATAGTGTCAGTGAGCCTCTCCTGTGGAGAACCCCAGCAGCCAGATGCACAGAAGTGATGCCGGACTGGTGCATAAAACGCCCCTGAATATCTTTTTGTGTGGCGTCTAATCTCACCTTCCTGAACGCCATCCTCTTTGAGCCGACATCTTCTCCCTCGCTGAAGACTTCGTCGCTCTCTGCCCGAGGAGAAGTTGACGGAGGAGCTGGAGGAGGTGGAGGAGACCTGCAGAAGCTTGGAGAGGATTGGATGTGGGGAGGACCACTCTCTCATTCCCGCCACCTGCTCGGCCTGTTCGTCCTCCCCCTCTGGTGTCTCCCCTCCCCCTTCCTCCTCCTCCACCTCTGCCGCTGCGACGGGAGACATCTTCCTCTCTCCATCCTCTGCTTCTTGTCTGTGAGCCTCTAAAATGGAGTTTCTCCCCCTCCAGTGTTTCCAGCTGCTGTTTGGGGACGACCCACAGTCCGTCTCCCCTCCGCTCCCTTCTACGCTTCTTTTCCCGCTCCACCTCGCCCTCTCCCAACCGTCCGTGTCCACCTCGTGGCTCCCCCAAAGCCTTTCCTTCCTCCTCATCCTCCATTTGGCCTTCACCTCATCCCTCGCTCGCCTTGCGTTCAGCTCAAAGTCCTCTTTTCTCTCCGGGCCTCGAGCGACCTGATTGCCTTGTTTCCTCGTCACGTCACCGGAATCCGGATTGATTGGACCGTCCGCCTCGCCGTCTTCTCCGAGTCCCCCGATACACTGACTGTAAGGTGGGAAACTTTTTGTGGACTTCAGCCTGGGTCTGGATCTCAATCGGACCTTCCTGCAGCTGCCGGACGGGTTCTCGCTGATGGTCATCTGTTGCTCCATCTCATCTGACAGCATGGCAGAGAAGTCCTCGTCCTCAGTTTGCTGGCTCTCCGTCTCCATCCCCCCCGTGGTGTTCTGATCAGCCGTGTCCATGCTGGAGTCCTGCGTGTCAGCGTAGGCAGAGAATCCACTCAACGCGTGCTTGCACAAAACAAGAAAATGTTTGCGCTGTCCGGGTATTTGTTTGTTGACAATTCTGTAAGCAGTATTTTAAAGGCGTCTTCAAATTACACGGACCGTGTGTCCATTCTCACCTTCTGTTTTCCCCCCCGTAGAAACCGCTCCGTGCCTCTGTGCCAGCGAGCTGCGTCCCTCTCTCATTCTCGCTGCTCGCGCCTTGTTTTGCATGCAGTGATGTCATGAAGGTTCCAAAAGCTTCCAGAGGACATCCAGGAATGACACACCGCGCGCAGGTGGAGGGAGGCACCGTGTTCTTCGTGCCCTCACTGTTTTATGACCACTCAATCAAACAAGAACTCTGATAAACATTTTTCAAGATTTATTGCAGTTTGACAGAAGTTTTTTTTTTTTGAACAGGTTTAAAGTTAATACTTTAATACTTTTGGGGGGTCGTTTTTTACACTTATAAGAACATTTTGACATAAAGGTTTTAAGCAATGTAAAGTAGTATTTAAGCTACAGCATGTTAGTTATGACTTGCAAACGAAGCTCCATGTCTGAAAGAAAACCTTTTTTGACATGAAAGCTAATGGGTTTAAGTCAGTGTTAATAAATGTGTCTGCTTATTCAACTATTTCGAGGGTACCTCACATTTTTATTTATTCATGTGCTTATTTATATTCTAATATCATATATTTATCCAACAGATCAAACACACTGAGAATGAAAAGTCACAAAGGTGCTGGTGAGATCATTAATACTAAAGCAAAACAGTACAAGACAATATTTTTTTTGTCAAACGTATTCTATTTATGGCTCTAACTTTCCTTTTAAACATGTATTATCCTGCACTAAAAGATTAAATTCCTTTTCAGTGAAAATTGACTTCTGAAACACAGATGACATGATGCAGCGTCAAACATGTACATTTAAAGCAGCGTCGCTCTGCAGTGTGTACATGATTTCAGAAGCATCTCAGATCTTGTTTTCCTGTAATAATCAGGCTGCCTCTGTTTCCTTCGAGTCCACCTGACCGTGAGCCCGTCGGGGCGGCACCTCCTCGTTGGCGCTCGTGGGTGGCGCCTCGCTCGGCTCCGGCTTTTTGGAGTCGTCTGAAGGGGACAACAGCCTTTCAGTACCTGTGAAGGAAGTTATTGTTTTATTTCATCACTGATGCAAACAACAAAAATGCTGAAATTGACTGTGCCTGTGCTTTTTTTTTTGCACCTGCAGCATCTTCTTGGTGGTTCTTTGTGTTCTCATCCCCATCTGACGGCAGTCCATCTGATGCCATCTATGAACAAAGAGTAAAAGACGTCTCTCGGGGCGTGTGCGGTCGCAGTGAAACCTTCTCTGCGGTAACGGCCCTCTCCTCTCACCTGCCCCGCTCGCCAATCCACTCTCAACACCAGCCGCACGTAGCAGAGGGCAAAGACGCCATTGAGGAAGATGAAGTTCGTGGACACGCCCACCATGGTTGACAGGAGAGGGAAGTTGAACAACAAGTATCTGGCATAGAAAAATAAACCAAGTAATTATGAAGTTGGTGGTAAAAGTCGTCCTCGCAGCCTGACTCCTACTTAAATGCCATTTGTAATATTTTCCTCACACAAACACCCGTCGACATGTTGTGCTCCAGTGAGAGCGGTAAGGTGTGGACGTGAGAGAGGGAGATTTTCCAGTGAAGGAACATGTAATTTCAGTCAAATGAGTTTTAGTTTTGTTTATTTGAGACAAGATTTTATCACAGAAGGAAAAATGCGGAAATAAGCGACCGTTTTATCTGCAGTTATAAGCTGTTACAAAAACAGTAGACGTTCTGTGCTGCGCAAAAGTCGCCCGTCAACTCTAATTCTACTGCAGTCTAATTTTGTGCTGTAGCCTTGTTATGCGATGGTCTGTGTGACGTATAACGGGGTACACGTCTTACCTCATGCCAGTGAAGTGAGCATGAATGAGGAGCTGAGATGAGTAGATCTGCACCTTGCTGGACAGGATCTCAATGACGGCCGTCATCGAGGGGAAATACTGCGTGCATGAAGATGGAGCGATAAGGTGGACTGCGTGCTGGTTAAAGTACACTGACACCTGGCGACACGTTCACGAAGCGAGGCTCGACTCACAGGGTCGTCCGTGAAGTCCGAGAAGAGCTCCACCTGCAGCACTTGTTTCTGCTCCGCGACCCCGGTCAGAAAGGCCGGGAGGAACAGCAGCGTTCCCAGGTACCTCAGCAGGTCTGAGCGGTATCGCAGCACGCCCTGACATCAGCACGGATAACCAGTCACAGGCACATATACACACCTTCATTCATTCATCCTCCGTTAATCGTCTCTTTCATTCAAAAGGTCCCCAGAAGGATGAATTTCCAAGAAAGGTTGATTGGATGTTGTCATGAATGCAAAAGCTTTAATTAAACGCAACGATTCGGTTGGGTGCCCAGTTTAATGTGTGGATAGCTCTGCAGAATTCAGTTTGTGTAAACCAAAAACTTTTTTTACCGTTGAAAAAACTGTGGATTATATTCAAAGTGATTCGTAGGTGATTCCTCCAAAACATTTACAGTAACACCATCACAAAACACAGCCCTAAAAAGTAGCATATCAATACTTATTTAATACGTATTTAGAGGACTGTTTGTGCTTCCTCACAATATACAGGCTTTTCTTTACTGATCCCTCCGTGTTTAATGAAATGAATTTAAATCCACGTTTGCATCCCTTATTCATGGGAGATCTCTACTCACACCATGTGTTTGTGGTATCAGGCCTTAGTTCACATGTTTGCCCTGTTGTCTCCATCACCTGAGCACTGAGATCACCCTCGGTCGCAGCGAGCGTAAGCAGCCCCGGCCTGGCTCTGACCAGGCTGTGTGGTTAAAAGGTCATTGTGCGTCTGCGCTGTACTCACAAAGCGAGAGCTGGAGGCGGACAGCTGCTTTGTTGCCTGAGAAACACACAGCGATGCGAACGTGAACGATTGGGTTTGGCGGGTTTTGGCAATGAGGCACTGGGAGCTGAACAAATCAAGGACTCACAGAGCGAGCAGAGGACGCAACTCTCCGTCCTCCCCGGGAGAAACAGGTCGTCCTGATCATGAACATCCCCAGCTCCTGATTGGTCGGAGAATCGGGCATCTCCAGCTGCAGAGACATCTCATAGGGCTGACCGAATGTCAGCACCTGGATACACGTTTTAAAACCGTTACATACAGTGGATGCATTAATGGATGCACACACACACACACACACACACAGACACACACACTCCCATACACACATACATGTTTCTTATTCCTCATCAGAGAGACGTTGGCCACAGGATAAGAGCACAAAAAAGAGGCGGGAGATTCACAGTCCGTCCTGCGCACACAGTGAATCATCACGTAAGTAATTAAAAACAAGAAAGCAACAATCAAACACAACGCAACTAATCGGTGTCGGTGTGTGAGATGTCACATACACACCTGTAGTAATAGTGCACAGGTGCGTGAAAAGCCGCCAGTGGCATGTAGGAGTAGTAGAAGCTGCCGTATAAGAAGGCAGAGATTAAGAAGAGCAGGGTGACGACAAAGAACAGAACAAATCCCTGCACGGCTTTCTGACGGGCGTGCGAGATCACCGTGGCGACAGCATCCTGGAGGCCTTGCAGGGCTCGGCTGATGAGGGCAAATAGGTCTTTAGCGTCATCTGGACGCAAATGCGCTTCTTGATCCATGAAGTCTGGACTTTGACAAACAAACAAAGTAAAGTGAACTTTTTGAAAAGTAGATTAGGACAGGGCTTCCCTGGAACAGATGAACGAAAAACTAAAATATAAAAAAAGATGCAACAAAGAAATCTAAAATCATGACGTCATGATGCCGATTGACACAAGCCGCCCTTTGACAGTACTGAGAGCTGTGAAACCACTAAATCAGATCCGAGTCACAAGTGGGGCCCTTTCACATCATGTGACTGAAACAAACTACCAAATGATGTGACCAAATGAATATGTATCACTTTGTTTTAATAATAACTTTACTAATAATGTTACTTTTGATCAAAGCGGTGATCAATTATCTTAAAAATGTAGCTGTTAATCGAGAAAATGTAACTAAATACTTTTACTTTACATGAGTCAAACTCTTTCTATTTGTACAAAATGTCATACTTTGTTAGAAACATTTTACAGCATTAGATAACATACAAACGGTACCTTGCAGTACATGCAAGTTGAGATGAAATTATTAGTCAATTGACAGAAGATAAGTGTGAACTGGTTTGATTATCATTAAAAACATTAAGTGGATTTCTTGCTTCTCCTTTTGATCTTTGTCCAGATTTGAATTTACTTTTAATCATTTGTAGTTTTTTAACTGTTATTGAAGCTGCCCTCATTCTGCATTGATTAGTACTACTATTACTACTCTACAAACATCAAGTCACAGAGTGAAATATTAGATATGAAAACTTTTTAATCTCATTTTTTTGAGGAAAGGAGTTGCTACTTGCACAACACATTAATGGTCACTGTGAAGACTTCAAGAGTTATGCTGGAAAGGATTATCGTGTGCACTGAAGCATTATCTTTACTCAATATTCAGATTAAAACCATGATTTGTTCATGCGATACCCAACACGCTCAACATTACTTGTCAAAAAAACTCACCTCTGGTTTCCAGCTATGAGATGTTGTCACTTCTTCTTCCCCTGAAGTCTCTTTGTCCACAGTTTGATGCTGTCTGGAAGAAAGGGTGTCAACAGCAACCTCCCCCGACCCCTCCGATTAACTTGAGCTGCCAAAAAGCTGCCATTGGACGAGGTTTAGTCCTTCCCACACGAAGAGAGAGATGCTGCTGCCAACTGGATCAGAGCTCCTGGTGTTCAACATGATACTGATAACAGGGCAAATACTGAGTTCATACTTTAAACTAATTAATAATAACAATGATTTATATATTTCATAACTGATTGATTGGATCTGCTCATCATTTTGTTTTGGCCATGGTTAAAACCGTGTTAAAGATTGGATTTCATTTTGAGAGTTGTTTCCTATTTTTCCATCCTATAATCCATAATATACTTGTTCATATGTTCAATTGATGAAAGGTTTATATTTTGGTTTCTGTATCTATTCTTTTCCTCAATTGCCGCTACTAAATGTGCTGTAAAGCTCTACTTTCCCCCTATTTTGCTCTCGGTTTTCTGTCCAATAGCGCCCCTAAATGACAAAAATGTTTAAATGTTTAATACTTACTTGGGTAGACCGTAGTCTTACTCTTTGGGGCAACGACTATTAGGCGGTATGTTTCCCGTAGAAAGTCTTTACCATTTAATATTTCATATTGCTTTTATGGAGTATTCAATCTTGATTGTCAGGAGATAAATCCCCAACTAGAAAGGCTTTATTTTGTATTATTATTATTATTATTATTATTATTATTACAAGTATTTGATAACAGAAATCATTTCCAGAAATACCTGTGTAGAAAAATACTCAATATTAAAAAAAGAAGTAAATGTTTAAAAAAATACATTTAAAAAGTACGACGCAATAATTTGTCAACAGGAGGAGGCGACATCCTGCGGAGGAACAGAAAAAAGCCCGCCAACGTACCCGCCAGCGTAGAAGAAGAAACTTTCGTCCAATCAGATGCAGCGACTTGGTCAACCCGGAAAACCAATTTTGCATTTCATATCACTTTAAGCGACCGAAGAACTGCTTTTAGGTAATGTTGCATTTATTTTTCTCAAATGCAAATGTAATTCTTTTATTGGGACGTTTGATAACATAACATTGTGATAACACAAGAATAATACAAGCTAACGCGACAACATCTTTAATAGAAGTAGCATGTTGTTTATTTAAGGTAAAAGGCTGCTGGTTGTTGTCAGAGCTCCCAATACTAAATTAACATTGCTCAGCTGTTAGATACAGAAAATACGTGAGAAACAACCCTTGCATGGCTGAAATCACAGCAAGAAATGAAGGTTTAATTATCATAGTGCAAGCGGTAGTTGTTCATGTTTTGGTCCCTTCCTGTCGTCTGGTTGCAGGATGTCCCGTAACACCAGTGTTACACGTGTTGATGTATCGTCCGTGGCTCAGGCCCAGAGAGTCCCAGTCCACCTCATGCCTTGTGAGATTGAACACGAGGGGCCGGCCCATGTCTCTGAGTACCTCACCGCTACCACCAAGGACTGCAAACTAGGTACACTCAGCCCCCCTCCCAGGAGACTAAAGCAGGTTGATATTGGTCCAGTTTGCGCTTCAAAGAAAACAGCTGTGGAGATCAAACCCTTCAGAATAATCACACAAATTATGATGACATTTGTTGTTTATTTGCACAAAAGTCATCGTAATAAGGGAGAAAAAAATGCTTTTAAACATTTTCATCTCAAATGAATCAACATCATCATACAAACAATGCATCTATAATCCACATATTCAAAAAGGTGTGTCTCACAGTATCTTTTAGTGGGGGATTGTTTGTGCATTGTTGTCATTACAGAGAAGACCGTGTCATTCAGAGGGCGTGGGCTGAAGGGGCAGGAGCTCAGCTGTCCACAGGGCTACACTGGCCTGGTGCTGAAAGATATCAACGAGCCCAGCTCAGACCAAGAGGTAAACTGAAAATCACATTTTTGTGCGGGTGAGGATCCTGAGACATGATGTTTTCGTGGTGATAAATATTGTGTGTGTGTGTGTCCAGGACAGGTTGTTGAGGGTGTCCTCTGTGTTTGACAAGCTGACCTACTGGAACCTGGAGACGCCTCCAAACTCGGACGACGCAGTCGTGATGGCGATGGATTGGCCCGAGTTGGCTCAGGCGGTGAGTTTGGTAACTCGCTTAAAAACGTAATGTTTAATCAAAGACAAAACTAACGTGTCACCCAGCGATTCAGGGTTTGAACAGAGTGGAATGATCAGCGGCTGTCCTCATTTAAGAGGATGAACAATGTTTGGTTTATAGTTTGGTAAAGCACCAAGAAGAAGTCTTTTTCTTTTCCTTCGTTCCTTGTCCAAGACTTATACTTTATACTTAAAACCAGTTTGATTCAGCCTCCAGTCACAGTTCATTATGTTTATTAGAAAATAATTTAATCAGAATCAGAAGTACAGAGATTTGTAAGTAGATGATGACATTTGGTCTCTTCACAGATCCACGGTCCAGTAGAAGACTGAAGAAAGGGAACAAAGGTTCTGCTCAGAGGAATCGAGTGGAGCGACAGTCAGTCAGAGAAATGCTCACGAGTTCAGTCTTCCTGTTACCGTTGTACGGTTGCAGGGTGATAGACGGGATGTTTATATTTTTTTTATCTTCTTTTGTAATAAAATAAAAAAGTACCTGTGTAATGTATCATTAATCTAAACAACAATATTTTCACAGTTTCTTTTGAACAGTGTTTATTCCCCAGTTTATTTTTAGCATGCCATAACACAAGGATGAAATGCTCACTCACAGTTCAGGCTTTTTCTTTTGAGTATCCAAACCTCAAATACAAAACCACTTTCATTTGTACATATAGAAACTAATTTGTAGACGAACACATTTCAGACGGCAATTCAGACACAAGTTTAAATCTAAACACTTAGATTTAAAAAACAAAAGGCAGAATTATTGTGTGTGTCTGTACTGTGTATTCTGTTACATTACTGGAGAAACACTACTGCGAGAACGGTCAATAAGGTTGCCAGGTTTCCTCTAAAATGTTCTACCTGCTAACGTTTTTTTGGAGGGGAGGAATCCTGTGCCAGTGAGAGGGTTTTACCACAGAGGATGTTGCATGTTTTCAAATTATACGTCTGCAACTGAGTTTTCTGGGTCAGTTATCTTGTTTAGGAATGATTCTCAATGGAATACTTCTTACTGCATGTTTGAAAGGGGACAAATGAAAAGCCTTTTGGCACAACTGACTTTCTACTTCATCAGATAAACTGTGTTTATCGGCTATTGATGGAGTGGCTTTAATAAAACTAATGCAAGGAAAATTCCACAGTTAGAATCAGATTGTATACACAAAAAGCACACTGCTCCCGCTGTGTGGTGGGTTAAATGCATTTTGTTGTCTCAGTACCTCAGTACCTGTACACCTCTGTGCAATGACAAAAAGTTGAATTTACTTCTACTTATCTGCTCCAATAGTTCCATATTGTAAACATTACACTAGGGCCGGGGTCCATAACCACAGAGCCAGGGACCAGTGCCGGTCCGTGGGCCATTTGGTACCACAGAAAGAATATATTTTTTTTCTTCTGAAAAATATTTTATTTTGAAAATTGACTATTCTCTCATAAGTACGTGTACTTGTTCCAGATTTTTTTTCACCTGATACAATTTGCCACTATTTTCTGCGCACGGCAGTTCCGCCCACCAGCAGACAGTGTGCACACTCTCAACACAACGATTCTTGTAACAATCCCCCAAACACATCCAGTCCTAAAAACAGCTTCCCCTTATTTGCGTTCATGTAGCACACAAAGTGTAGGATGTCAAATCTCTTGTTAGAACCTTTTGAAATTGTAAAATCTCTGCAAAACTTTTGGAGAGTAGCACAATATCACAACAGTGTGAGAACGTCACATTGAGCGAATGAAGACTGAGGTGTGTGTCTGTGCCGGAGAGTTCTCATGTTCCTGCACTCACAGAGAAAAATACAAATCTGTAAGCTCTTGTGTTGATCTAATATGGGTCATGTGTGAGATGAGTGTAACCCTCTGCTAATTAATAAAATGTGAAATGTACTGCCAATCGCTTGCCAGCTGTCACACATAAATATCCGGGTCGGGGAAAGGTCACTTCCTGTTATGGATTACAATCCCACTCGGCGGTGACAGCTAGGGCAACACGCAGAATTCCTCGGTCAACGGTCAGGTTTTGAACCAGGACACAAGTGGTGCCTGAAGGCGTGCGGATCACCATTTGGAGCTACCAAACGGACCTTCCAGTCCTGTGGAGACGTGTCCTGTCCTGTGGCGACGTGGTAGGATAAGGACACAAAAAACATTTCCATGGACCTCAAAATGGATTATATACTTTTTTCCATATTTTTCTTTCCGGATGGACTTGAACTTGACGTGGACTTATGAACTAACCAAATTTCTTTATTTATAAATACACAGTCTATAAATGCACCACAGTAACAGCTGGACTGACTCGTCATTGTTTTTTTTCCACACACATTTGGCTCCGTAGGCGAATTTGAGATCTTTGGGTCGAAGTGAGAATTTAAGATTAAGCTAAGGTTAAGCTTAGGTTGGGAAAACCTCAAGCGATGGTTACACGAGGATTGTTGAGTTGTGCGCCGTTAAGGCACTGTTGGACACAACTGAGATGGCTGCGGCTGATGTGAAACTTTTCTGTAGAAGTCGAATACCTTTTCATCTCTGCTTGCTGTACTCTGTTTATATTTTTCTGACCCTCAGGCTGTGTTTATTACCCACCTAATTTGTGCAGTCCTACTGTTGTGATTGGCCGTCCACACCTGGTGGACCCGGTCACTCACATGGTAAATGGACTGTACTTGTACAGCGCTTTTCTAGTCTTCTGACCACTCAAAGCGCTTTAACACTACATGACATCATTCACACCCATTCACAGCCATTCACACGCTGATGACAGGAGAACCATACACAGTGACACCTTCCCATCAGTAACTAACATTCACACGCTGTAGTCGCAGCTACTGGAGAAATGTTGGGTTAAGTGTCTTGCCCAAGGACACATCGACATGCGGGTTAGCAGAGCCTGGGATCGAACTGACAACCCTCTGATTGGAGGAATACCGTGCTCCCCACTCACCCACAGTCGCCCGCCACATCACATGTTGATAAGTTGACGCCCCCTTTTGAAATTAAGAAATGAGCTGAGAGATTCCAGACTCATTTGGTTTGGCAAATGTCCTCAGTAAAGTAGAAAAAGCTTGGGGCCAGCAGTTTAGAAATGTAAAAATAGTACCCCAAAAGTGGAATATGTTATGATGTCAAATACATAAGTAACTTTTGATTCATTGCGAAAACAATCAACAAATCAATTGAAAATTGAAGCTATAGTTAGTTACAGATACGCTCAATTTAGCTTGGAATGTTGAATTAGAACTACGCTGTGATGTTAAAGTGGTGTGTGTTAGCTAAGAGGGGGGGGGGCTGTGGCGGCAGGGGGGGCTCCAAGTCGGCCTTGCTGCGCTTGGCGGGTAGTGACTGGTCATGATTCTTCCGTATGTGTCTGTACAGGTCGCCTGATTGCGTGTAGCTCCGGTAGCAGTAGCGACACTCGTAGGGACGCTCGCGCGTGTGCACAATGGCGTGGCGCCGTAGTGTGTAAGAGCATGAGAACGTCTTTCCACACACTCCACACGTGGGGAGGTCCTCTACAAAGTTCTCCATTGAGTCCTGGTAGTCCTGGAAGTAGGAAGGAGGGTCTGACTGCTGCTGAGCTACGGATGGAGGAATGAGGGCAAAGGAGGAAGTGTCCTGTGAAGAAGGGCCGGCACCGGAGGAGGAGGAGGAAGGAGAGCGGGGGAAGGAGTAGTCATTTGAATGGGAGGAAATGTGTAAGATGCCCTGTGGGTGGGAAGAAAGAAACTGAAGGTTGTGCAGCTCCTCCTCTTCTTCAAACTCATTGTCTACTTCCATCACAGATCTTTCTCTTTCCTCTTTCTTCTCCTCCAACTCTTCGTCAGATATGACAATGGCCTCCACTTTGACTTTCAAATGATCTCCATCACTGTAGTCTGTTCCCACTCTGTCCATAGGAGGATGAGTTCTTTCATTTCTAGTGGTGGGCGAAGCTCCCGTATTCCCCTCAGGTGCCTTTAGGGTTTCTGTCTGAGGAGCAGATGGAAAGTCCAAGCTTTGGCATTGAAGAGACACAGCGTTCTGGATTCGGATCTGGTGCAGTGGCCGCTGTGGTGGTGAGTGAGGTGGGTTTTCTGAGGTACCCGATGTACCTCCCTGGCCAGCCTCTGAGGGATTCCTTATGGAGTCATCGCGTGGTAGTCGGGGTACGTCCTGCTGTGGGCTCGGGGAGTTGGAGGATCCTGACTGGGAATAAGCAACCACTGACGGGCCACCAGCCTGACTCACTGGCACCATGGAGGAAGAAGACGAGGAGGGCTGCTGGTTAGTACAGAGGCCGCTGAAAGAGAGAAGCACATACTCTAAGCAGCTTTCCAGTAACAAAGAGTCTTCAAAATGTCTCTCAGTAAATAAAGCAACAACAATCCAACCCGTACCTGTACGTCTCAGTAGTACTGCAAGGGCTGCAGAAGGCCAACACCTCTCCATGACCTCCAGTTCCCAACCTGGCATGACCTCCTGCGGTGGGGCCAGACCGGCCTGTGATGACGCTGTGCGTCAGCTCCCCGCCCGTGGGCAGAGGATGGGGGTCCATGCCCGGCTGAGTGGTATCAGCGAGGCCGGGGCTCAGGGGAGTCTGAACTCGTGTGTCTGATGACCTCCCACCAGTCCTCGGTTCGGGCTTCACGGACTCCAACTGACTTTTCCCCGTTATTGTGAATACTGATGGGAATGGTGCTGCCACGGCGACTGGATTCATGGGATCACCTACCATGGCTGCCGCCTGCCCGGCTGCACTGTCCCCCACACCCTCCCCCCCCGACTCTGGTGCCCTCCTCGCCTCAGCGCTCTCTTCGGAGCGAGTGCTGTCTGCCTCAGCAAGAGGGCCTCGTCTCTGCAGCCGCCTCTTGCAGACTCTCACCACCTCGTTCATGTGCAGAAAGCTCGCAGCCGCCAACACGTCCTCCACTGGCGGAGACTCGTCCAGCTGCAGCACGCCTTCATAGACAAAGTCCAAGAGCAGGCCAAACGCAGCCGACGTGACGATGTCGCAGTCGAGTGTGACGGAGCTGCTGGTGGCGTTTCCACCAAGCACCCCTGCAGAATCTGAGAAGAACATGTGGAAGAAAGGCGAGCAGGAAGCCAAGACAGCCTTGTGAGCAAGGAAACGGGACGGGCCCAGCATGACGGTGCAGTCACAGAGGAAGCCCCGCTGGCGCTGGGAGCGCAGAGCTGACAGCAGCTGCTGGGAATGCTGAGGGAACTCCATCACCTGAGCAACGGAGGCCGTCAAAATGAAAGAAAGCACAGACACACTGAGGCATTTCAGAAGGAAAAGAAAGGAGGAGATACTCACGTTGTCAGTATTTTAAACTACAGGGTTCCTTATCAAATATTAGATATGACTGTGACCATCCTTGAGAGCCACATACAGGTCAAAGTTCACGCATCACGCTTGAAGCACTGTTAGAATAATTATTTTGCCTGAACTCAACATAACTTTGAGGAGTGACCAGATTCAAGGTCTGGATCCAGGGCAACTATTGTATGTACAACATTGCTGCATTTGTCTTATTTGTCCCCTGTATAAATTAAGTTATACTAAAAACAACGTAAGTGCAATTTGTCTGAGGGGCACGTTAAGGAGAAAAGAAGAAGGGCGTTTTGTGGGGAGCCTCAGCTTGCAATCAACCAGTCTTCATGGCGTTGGCATAGTGTGAACTAGTGAACTAGGGCAAGTTTGTCTTGCTAATAGTGGAGAACAACATCCCGTAACGTTATAGATACAAAACAATACAATAAATATGTTTGGGTACAAGTAGTAAAATAAGCCTTTCAAAGGGGCACTTACGGGAAGCAGGGCTCCTTCCTCCCTTTAAACGCGGTTTATTGACAGCTCAGTCATCATCCGGTAATGTATTTTACGTTACGTTTCCATGGTAACCCGTCCGTTACCGTCTTCAGTCCACTGGCAACTTCGCCTGGGTTGTGAAACTATTTAGCGTTACAAAGCAGACAGGGGCATGCAGGCGAGAAAGAAATGAACAGATAAAACCACGGCAAATATATTGCAGAGAAACAAAATCATCGCAATTAGCGAGATTGTTCGCTGAGAACAACATTCAGCTCCAGTATGCTAACATCAGTTAGCAAATGTAGCTCTGCATCTTGAGTAAAATCCCACCACCGGGATATTTTCCACCAGCAGTTACAATATTGTTTGGTTACATCGGCATGACCTTCGGTCTGTACAACGCAAACTCTCAGGTAAGATATTTGAGTCATGAGTCATATTTATTTTTGAATTATTTTACCTGCAGCAGCTGCTTGAGTGATGATTTCTTCTAGGACAATTGTTTTTCTTCTTCGGTGGTGCCCCGACACCGCAGATCCATCCGCCACAGTGCCGCCTAGAGGAAACCGATGGAAACAACCCGGAAGTACGAAGCTCAACATTTGTTTACAGTTGTGTGATCCGGTTGTGCTGAATTAACAAAAGTACAATGCATGGCCGGTACCAAAGAGCTTCGACGTACGACCTGAATAACTGAACAGCTGCATTTAAATGGACAGCGGCAGTGGAGGAAGAGGAGGAAGAGGAAAGAGAGGAAGTCGTGGTGGAGAGGTGAGAGACTGGAGGCTTATACACTGGGATATTGTTCTATTACCTTGATCAAAGATTAATATCTGCCTCTTGACACCCTTGTATCATGGTAGGCAGTATGAACTGTTAGCCATGGTGAAGGTCCTATATTTATACCAGAGCTATATTTAGATCTGAATTGGAATGCGTGTGTGTGTGTGTGTGTGTGTGTGTGTGTGTGTGTGTGTGTGTGTGTGTGTGTGTGTGTGTGTGTGTATCTATCTTCTGCCCTACAAGGACGGGGATGTCCGCCTGTCTAAGTCCCTTTCCTATGCTCTTCGCCATGGAGCCAACCAGATGGGTCTCCAAATGGGTTCAGGTAAGCTCATCACAATCTGATCCAGGTAGCACAACAAATTCCCCCTTTGTTGTATTCCTCATATACTGACACAACAAGCATTGCAAGTGTGGACATTTTATTTATTTTTTAATGAAAAGCAGAGAGTTTATGACAACAGAGACCATCCATTGTGGAAGTGTGACCGTAGTCAACTGTCATCGTCATAGATGGCTTCATGTTTGTGGAGGAACTCTTGGCTCACCCGCAGTTCCGCGCATACTCATTGAAAGATGTCGAAAGAATCGTGGCCACAAATGACAAGAAACGCTTTAAGCTCAGCGCCCACCCGGAGGACGGCCGCCTGTTGATTCGAGCCAGTCAGGGCCACTCATTACCGGTATGTGGGTATTTAATTTCATCAGAAAGCACCGCAAGCCAGAAGAAAATGTCATGTCTGTGATATAAATCAGAACACTGTGATAACATGCATCATCAGCTCTTCATTTGATTGTGGTATCTTTTTTTCTCATATGTTGCAAATATTTACTTTTCAGGAGAACATGAGATGTACTAACCTCCAGTGGTCTTATTATATATTCGTATCCTGCGAGTAATTCAATTAGATCATAACAGTTGAAAATGCATTTTGACACTACTCAGATGTCCCTTTGGGTAGGTTAGTTATCTTCTGTATAATATCACTTAAACTGGTCAAAAGAAAACCCTTCTTCTCCTTCTTGCTGTGGTGGCATACTGCTGGGATCAGGTAATGGATTTGGAGCTGAAACCGGTCCTGGCTGGTTCTCCGGACTGCCCCGCTGAGGCCGTTCACGGCTCCTACCTCCGCAACTGGAGCTCCATCCAGCAGGAGGGCCTGAGCCGCATGAAGAGGACGCACATCCACCTGGCACTGGGCCTTCCAGGGGAGGAAGGCGTAATCAGCGGTAAGCTCAGTGTGTGTCTGCGTGTGTGTCTGAGCGAAGTCAGCTGAACATTTGGACTGATGAGTGTATTTCATCTTTCCACCAGGCATGAGGAAAGACTGTGATCTAGCTGTGTATATTGATGTGTTTAAAGCTCTTGCTGGTAAGCTCAACCACTATCGACTGCTACCCAATACACTTGGATCAGTCTTTGTGTTTTGGCACAACTCTGTATGTGTATATATGTGCAGATGGCGTTGAGTTCTTCTGGTCGGATAACGGTGTGTTGCTGACTGCAGGTGACGCACAGGGAAAACTTCTGCCTAAATACTTTAGCCGAGCCTTAAAACTGAGACCTACGAGTAAGAAAACACTTCAAAGGGCTTCACTCAATTTAGATTTTAAACTGAGAGCTTCTCACTTCACTGACGCCACCTTTGTTCTGTGTTTCAGGGAGCATCCTGTCACTGCAGTAGCATCAGAGGAGAGATCCCTCGGTAACACAATGGGAGAATTGTGTTACAGACAATTCAATGGGAGAAAGTATACCATTGCCAAAGAAACTATGGCAGACATTGACTATGATCGTACTTTCACCTTGCTGTAGGAAAATACACAACAAGTTTGGACTTACAGCTAACAACGACATTACATTACATTACATGTCATTTAGCTGACGCTTTTATCCAAAGCGACGTACAATAAGTGCATTCAACCATAGGGTACAAACGACCAGTTGGGCCTTTAAATGTCTTTTGGAGACATTTTGGATGTGGCAATAGACTAATCTAGGAAAGCACAGGATACAGACACTGTGGTTTTAGTTAACAGATGCTGTAGCTGTTTCTAAAAGATATGGACACACACACACACACACACACACACACACACACACACACACACACACACACACACACACAATGTGAGGGTAGATTAACGGTTAGAAGCTTCCTGGTAAGGAACCAACAGAAATGACCAAGCACAAGTCACAACGATAAGGAGTGAAAACAACAGAGAATGAAAAGTGAATTGCTGTATTCATTTATTTTAATAAATGTTCGTTATCTATGCGTTAATTTATGTTTTTCTACTTAACACTGTTGATTCGTTGCTGTGATAATCTGGCCCCTGGCAACTAGTCTGCATCTCTAAGCCAGGCTCTCCATCCCGAGCGACAGCAAGGCGGCTTACGAACAGAAAAGTTCCTCCTGGCTGATGCAATTGTTGTTTTTATGTTGCCGTGAGTTTGAGTGTCAAGTCTACTGATCCAGGACCTGAAGTCCAGCACCAGGCGCCAGCAGCGGTCCATCATGAAGTAAAGGGGAAGTCAGCGTGAGGACCTCTGGAGTCTTGAACTGTCTGAAGATGTTGTCCACTCACTGATAGTGTGTGTGTGTGTGTGTGTGTGTGTGTGTGTGTAACAAAGGCTATATAAAAACGTAGATGGGCTGACGAGGTGGGTTGTAACACATTTACACGAGAAGCAGAAGATCTAGTTTTGTCCACACGTTGTACACTTGTGATGTTTTTATAGTAGCCTGAATGGAACTTAAAATCCAACTCCGCATGGTTTTCCATTATCGAGACTCGGCTAAAGATGTGATGTTTTTTTTCCCCCTTTCGTGTGTTTTAGTCTCAGAGAGCTTCATGGCCGCCGGTCAGCTTGTGGAAAAGCTCCTCATTGAGCGTGTCGCTCTTTGCACGACTGCGTGTCGACATGAAAATGTAGCCTCCAATAAACTCATGGACGATTTTGCAGTCGGCAGTCACGCAGCCAAAAGCAATGTTGATGTTGCCTTCAAACTCTATGGCCATCTGGAGGAGTCACAAAGTAAAGGGCAGAAAAGCAGATATTGCATTATTTTTAAATAAAAGATTGAATTTCACCTGTGAAAGAAATGTATAAATCAAGTAACGTTATGGGGTTCCTTTAAAAAACCAAAAGAAACATGCCAGGGAAAACGTTATCTGATTAAGCTACTGTATAAACACATATTGCTTGAAACTAATGTCTTAGACCGTGCAGACTGCTCTCCTGTCACCTGTCGTATGTCCCAGTTGACGTTCCACTGCTTCATGTTGTTGTAGCGCCAAGTCTTTACCACATCACCTACGGCGAGGTCGATGCGGATCAGACGGTTGGGAGCAATGCCCAGTACTTCGTCTTTTCGACTGCCCTTAAACCTGTTGAACAAAACACATCTTCAGCTCCTTCCCTCTAAAGCTCTTGCTGAGACCAAAGACAAGATTCAGCTCCGCAGGAACTTGACTTGATTGCTTGCCGGAATCACACTTTGATACCACCATTTTTTCCACCCTTCCAACAATATTTACAATACTACTAGCATTTGATACTATTTCCTCCCGTTTGATGTGAGGAAATAGTATCAAGCTTGTCAAGTTTCCCAAACCAGCGCTGAATGGTAAACAGCAATTGCTCTGCAGATTTTTGTCTGACAGGGACTTATTAACTGGGATGAGAACAGCTAAAACAACAAAACAATCCTATTTTCTACCTGTGGTCACCAATTTCTACATTTATGTTGCCCGAGAGTAAAACTTCATAATACTTGGTGTACGTATTCATCCAGTAATGTCTTTACCCATTTAAACTAATATTTTGAAATTGATAGCTCTAGTTGTCTTACTTTGCATGTTGACAAATGCTGCTGGATTAATGTTAACTGGCACAAATTATTTCTGAAAATCTTCAAGTTAAACTTCAAACCTGACAACCACGTATGAGAGCCCAAAGTCAGGCAGGGCTTGCCAGATCTGCAGGAAGCGCATCACTGCATCTGTCAGTGAGAGCTGAGCCACATTCTGGTAGGCGTCCAAGATGCGAGGGGTCAGCTGGAGGAACATGCAAAGAGGTAAAAAGGTTATAATTATATTCGTGCTGCCTCATTTTCTTTACTTGACATTTTTGAAACTAACATATCTTGACCTTGTTTTCCGTAATATTTTTTTACTTCTTTTTCCCATGACATTTATTGATAAAATATTTTTTGTAATTTTTTGTATGAATATAATTTTGACTTTCCTTTCCCTAACGTTTTTCAACATAATTTGCCGACAATTTGTTTCGTTTTGTTATTTTTTGACCTAATTCTTTTTGATTTTTTTTATGACATTTTACAATCTTATATTTTGTCACTTTTTTCCATGACATTGTTTGACATAATCTTTCTTTACTGTTTTTTCCATGACATTTTTGATAAAATATATTTTTTCAAATTTTTCAGAATTCATTTTTGACAATTTCCGACCAAAGACCTTTAGACTTGAAAAAAAAGTTCTTTGACCTAAGGTTGTTTTTCATGACATTTTCTCAATATTTTGACATTTCTTTCATGAACTTCATTTTTTTCACTTTCTTTTCCAGTTTCCCCCAACGTTTTCCAATCTTAATATTTTTTTTACTCTTTATCCATGACAGTTCCAAATAAAGATGCAAAAATGAAAGTGAGTGGGGTTTTCCACATCAGAATTGTCCAATTAGCTCAATAGTACAAAAATCACTGTGCTGTAGTCTCAAAAACGATTAAGTTCATGATATATTATTATATGTACTTTATACATTCATTTTAGTGCCTGTACGTCATCTCTACCTGTTTGGCTTTGTATTTCTTATGGTAGCGTGGCGACACCAGACTATGTGTATTGATGCTTTCATCATTGGTAGGTGCGTTGCCATGGGAACTCTTCTTTTGCATTGCCAGGAAGGAGCGGATGCTCTGGATCTCATTCTGGAAACTGCTGTCGGCCAAAGTCTTGCCTTTGGAGGCCAGTCGACACCCAGCCATCCACTGAGCATACTGCTCCTCCTGGAGGGTGAGACACAACCACACAAGTCAGAGAGAGAGACTAAACCATAGAAGGTGGAGACAAAGATAGAGGTGTTGAAAGTGAGATGACAGGATGTCACCTATCCACACATATGTACTCACATTTTCACAGCGCAGATAGACCTCGTTCATGCCTTCAGGCGCTGGAATCAGGAGTCTGATTAAGAACTTCTGCGCTGTCACGTTGACGTCCGGAGCCACCTCACATCCTGTGTGCAGGATAAATATCAAACCAACTCCCATTTCTGAAATATGACACTCATGGCCTGAACAAAGAAAGGAAGGACGACCAAAGACTCAGGCATTCATGACATATTGAAGATCCACGCCTGGATGGCCGGGTCACAGTTCATTTTTTCGATGTTGTCGTCTGCATTAGTGTTACATTCTTTGTTATTAATGCTTCATGTCCCCTTTGAGCCCAGAATTTTGTTATGTTAAAAAATGAGTCCATAAGTGGTTCACATCACCGATCTGTGATTGACAGGGACCTCAATAACTTCTCACAGACTGAAGACGAAAAACTTGAGAGGAGCACTCTCCCTTTTTACCATAAAAGGAAAGCACTTTGTCTTTGTCTTTCCTAGTAAGACATCGTACTCGAGCAAGGGCCCGTCTGTAAGCAGAGACAATACGCTGCTTAACAGGTTGCTGAAGGATGACATCTGCCGCTAATTCATACATACTTATTGATAACTGATGACACATTGATGACGTAGTAGGACAGTATCTTAATAATGATGTGCGATAGTGTATTCAGTACCTTTCAGGTTAATCTGTTGAATGGGCTCCCCAATGCTCTCCTCCTTGCTCTTGAAATAGGAGATGGAGGTATCCTGAAACTTGAACCAGTACTGCTTATATCCCTTTAGAGTCAGCCTCTTTGGCCTGAAATATGAAATCATATTTCTCATGTTATCTACTCATATTGACTAGCAAACGAAGCATAACATTGTTGATGTGAATGAGTGCTTGGAAGATTAATGTCACCTGAATATCTTCAGGTAGTCGTTGAGATCTGGTGCAGTCAGGTTTTCCTGGATAAAGACGAAGATATTTTTCAGTGTACAAAACAATACTCATCTCGTGGTTTATTTGGGGTTATTTCTTTAAGTTGTAAAGTGCTAAAACAACTTAGAGTTTGTTAAAATCATCATATCAATGGCTTAAATGATTACACAATCTCTAAAAAATAATGAGATAAAACAATGATTAAGATTAAGGTGAGACAACAGCATCCTAATCCAGACAACAGCTGACTCTCAGTAACAGACGGGTACATCCAATATGTCCGACCAGCATATCCGACGCGGAGCTGCTCTCTCCCTCCAGCTTGACCTCCAGCGACTGCAGAGCCGAGTCCAGGTCGTCCATGGCCGCATTGGAGCTCACCATCTGGGGCTCCGACTGAGACACCTTACTGATGTGGTACTATAGGAGTTTGAGTGTTAGAGAGAATCATATATGCATCATAAATAATCATATAGTATATGGATGATAAAGCAGAATACAACAAAAGATGTGTGTGGTTGTATCATTTGGATACTTAAAAAAATCAGTTTAAAGATTCAAGTCTATAAATGCTAATATGTGTGTGGACAGAGTATTGTGGCTTACGCGCTAAATGTTCCTGTATTATTTTTATTATAGAATGTAGTTTAAACCACGTGGTATTTAGGCAAATACATTTCAAGAATAACTCCTTTTTGATATTTGGTTTGTCAACAACCTTTTTTTAATGCAGTTAAATTTATTAAAATAAATTTTATATTTGACCTGTAACCCTAAATTCAAAATGATTACTCATTCGTCTTTGACAATATTCATATATAAACATGGTAACATTTAATTCCTGTAATATGTGACACTTAAAGAGTTGCCGTAACACACTGTTTTTAATGTTGGCCCGCCCGTTGACAGACATGCCCACATGTCAGCAACAGTGTTTTCTACCTGAAGAGCTCCAAACAACATCATCTCCTCCTCGGTGCAGTCGATGTCCTCAAGCAGGATGGCCCAGCGCGCCTGCTCATACAGCTGGGTCAGACGCACAACGTCATACTGCACGGGAGAGGAAGAAATCAAGGGGGAAATGAAATACCGAGCATGTATCCTGTATCTATAGAAACATCATCACACACACACACACACACACACACACACCTTGGGATCCATATCATAAAAGGAGAAGTATTTGAAGCGAAGCCAGACTCTGTCATTTT